AACACCAACTTGACACCAAGTAGGCCAGAGAACAAGTCTGCTACCAAGTCTAGGAGGGTAAAGAGCTAAGAACACTTGACTGAACAGTCAGGAGGATCGAAGGATGGATCTGGAGAAGGGGGACCTTAGGTGACCTGCCAGACGAAAGATCAGTGCAGAAGTACCTGCTTCAGAACTTAGAGGGAATATAGGCCTCTTAACCTTAGCCCAAACCCCACAGGTGTGCCACCACTCCTCCTTCCAAAACATTAAATTAGGTTTATTTTCAGATCCAAGTTAAATGCAGAGTAACTCTTTTTTTTTTCCTAAAGATTTTATTTATTTATTTGACAGAGAGATCACAAGGAGGCAGAGAGGCAGGCAGAGAGAGGGAGGAAGCAGGCTCCCTGCTGAGCAGAGAGCCTGATGTGGGGCTCCATCCCAGGACCCTGAGACCATGACCTGAGCTGAAGGCAGAGGCAAAGTAATACTTTAATTCAGCCTAGGGACTGCCCACTCCATCATGTAGCTGATTTTGCCATCAAGAGAGAAAAATCCCAAAGCAAAATAAAAGGTGAACAGAGGAGTGAATAGTTTAAAATATAAATTCTTTGTATTGATGAGATGAGGAACTGAGGCAAAAGTACCAGAAATAATAAACCAGTGGTCAAATGTGGCAGACTAATCAACTTTACCCAGCAAGGGCTGTTCATCTTTCCCCCAAGTCATGCAGATACAAGCCCAGGCAGCTGATGCGCATATTTACAAAAAAGGGTTTTCCCCTTTTATCTTAAAAAAAAAAAAAAAAAGAAAAAAAATTCTGCAGAGAATTGTTACCCAGCACATCATTAACTCATTCTATATACATGTGGGTACCACTAAAACCAATTTTAAACGTGCTTTTCTAGGATATTAATTATATTATCTCTAAATAAAGACTTTTCCTGTGTAGTCTTGTTGGTAGCCATCAAAATATGCTATCAAGTCTCATGACTCACTCTTCCAAACCCCCATTTAACAACACTTCTAAATATTATGACTTTCAAGGGCACCTTCCTACAGCTTTTTAATTGATTCCCCGGCCGCTACTACACACAGCCCTACTTTTTTCCTCCTTACTTCCCTTAGGTGGCAAGGACATTAAGAATCTTATCAAAACTAGTTTTCAAAAGTAGTCCGAGGGCCCAGAGACTCTTTGAAAGAAGCACAGTCCGAGCAAATATACCCAGTTAGTCCCGGACCCATCCTTAATTCACTCTAATCCAATAGTGCCCTCAAACCTGAAAAAGAATATAGTGTAAAAATTTTCCAAAACTTCTTCGAATATGAACAATTCTGCGGTATGGCATATGACATAACATAGTTCCAAAGGCTCTTCGACGTCACGCTAGTTACAGCTGAAAGAAAAGTTAACATAAACACTAAATAAGCTATATTACACCCAAGCTTCATCTGAATGACCTCTCGGTTAAATCAAACCACATACAGCACGCTAGATTAATCCTCAAGGGTATTTTAAGCATGGGTTCAAACAAACTGCCTATACAACAGGCTTGGGCTGATGCTCAATGCTGTAAACTAAGCGATTTAAGAAAAGAAAGTATTTCCAATAAATATTTAGAACCAGGAGGCCTACCTGAAAATTCTGACTGGTAGTTAAGGAGTTTTGTTTCCTGAGAAAATAATTTAGTCCCTTGCACGTCAGCTAACTTATCAGAATACAACAGCCTTCTAACTCATCCAATCTTACAGAAGATTACTATAAGCCCTATCTCACCTATTTTAGAAATCCAGCAAATGGAATGTAAATCTAAACTGCATCCTTGGAAAACTGATAATAGAAATTTAAAATCTCTCTCTTTGAAAGTCTACCTGTAATTTTGCATGGCCTCCCATTATTCAAGAAACAGGATTTCCCCGGACTCTGAAGTCACTCTGCTGAGATACCTATTCAAATGGGTGTCACTGGCTTTCTTTCACTTTGAAATTCAAAGTATGTTTCACGGTACAGTATGGAAAGTACCACTTTTAACCTAAGACAAACTTAACAGTACCTAGTCATTTCATTTACTTACCTTTATGACCTTCTGCTATGTACATACAAAGCACCATTTTTCACATACTAGGATTTCATTTCTTTTTCTCAAGGCTATCAGCCAAGTCAGTCTTTGACCAACCTTTTCCCCATTCTGCCCACTTTTCTACAGGCTCTGTACAGAGACTTTGGGACTTAAACCAAAACAAAAGACCTAAGACTCTTATCAAGGCTTGGCAATGCCCCCCTCGATTCAAAATCCAGACCACACCCAGGTCCTCTCCTAGTCTCCATAGCAACAGATCACCTGTACTATTATATTTACTCTCTTTTTGTCTAGATTCTGCATTTAGGAAAGACAACCAAGACTCTCGAGTTTGGCCAGAAAGTGATGTCTTCCCATCACAAGGGCTGACTCAGACTTAGCTTGGCTGAAGCAGCAGGACCTGGTACACAACTACTCCGGAAGCAGGCCTCCATACCAGAACTGCTTCGGACAGAAAATCGGCTCCTATGATAACATTCCCACTGTAAGGGTAGCCCAAGATCCATTCTTTCCGACATCCCTGGTCCTCCACCTTCTCCAGGATGTAACAAGCTTTCTCATTTTCTCTCACCCTTGACCTCGACACCATAGCCAGATTTCCCCCTCATTCTTTCTCCCTTCACAATAAACAGCAAGTGGTCCTTCAACTGGCCACATGTTCAAAGATCCTTTGTTCCTAAATATTCCGGATAAAGGTACCTATGAAAACTATAGCAACTGAAAAAAAACAAAAACAAAAACAAAAAAAAACCCAACAATTATTCTAACAAAGTCTTCAACCAATTTATAAATATGCAAATAAACTATGCCTTCAGATGTCTGTTTTATCCTAAATTAAACCTTTAATAAGTTAATTGCAAGCATCAGCAGAATCTATAATTACATTAATTCTGTAGTGTAATTTTCAACATCAGTATTTCCTTCTCTGTTCTTTAAGCTTCCCTTCCTCTTCACTCCTAAGCACCACCATATAATAGCACTATTTACCAAGTACTGTTCTAAGTGCTTTCTGTGCGTTCATTTACATAAGGCTCTAAACAGGCAATACCTATTATGCCTATCTACAAACGACAACTTCAGCATCTGGACCAGGTTAAGTCAGCTGTACGAGTCTGTCCAAAGTGACAATACCAAAACTGGAACAAAACAATCTGGCTTCGGAGTTTTGTCTATTAACTACTGAGGTTCACTGCCTCTGATATCCTCATTATCACACTTATACTAAAACTGCTTGTAAACCACTAGAGGGCATAGACTGTGACCATCCTTTGCAGAGCTATATCCTCAGTACACACAAGTCTTGAGGCTTATGAATAAACCATTGTTGAGTTCTTCACAGGTGTGCTTTCCCCTCTAGACTGTGCTCCTTTAGGGTCAATGAGGAAACTCACACCACAGGTCATGCTCTACATGCATGGCATCTCAGTGAAAATAATAGGCAGAAGTCCTTCCTTCACACATTCCTAAACACCTGCTGAGTCTTGAACCTAATTACAGGAATGAGAAGCCCCTGTTGGAGGTAACAGTCAAAGCCACCTTTCCAATTCTGCAAGCCATCAATGGCTGCCTTGAATAACCTTTTAAACTTGCTAGCAGGCACAACATATGACATCAGGTGAAATGCAGAAGCTGTCCTTCACTACATTAGCACTGCTCCCTTTAAGAGAGGTTGTTTTTTTTTTTTAACTTAAATAAACAACCCCGAGTTAGCAAAAGTTAATTCTGCATATGGTTCATTTGCTTTAAAAATAATTACTCTTTTCAGAGAACGCTTCTGAATAGTAAATTCCCCCTTACTTCACTCAAAACATTTAGGAATTTAAAAATTAAGCTTAATTTGGCCAAGGAAAACCACATTAGACGACGCTAAGGATTAACGACCCGATATTTAAAAGAGCAATCTCAGACTGCAACCATCTCTGAATTACTTACCTAAGTATTAGCCACAGTAAATCTCCGCATCGGGCAGGCTTTCCCCTAAATACACCACAAATTCTACCGTGGTTATCATTTCAACGCAGAACCATTTCCAAATTATCTTCTGATGCTTAGAAAAGCACACACGAAATAAACAAATTCCTTTCTAAATTATCAGTTCCTTCCTGACACTATTCTGGACACAATGTCAAAGTCTGTGTGTTTTTTTTTTTTTGCTTTTTTAAACAAAAGATCGACTCTCTTAAAACTTCCCTTTCTCAAAGAAAAGCTGAAACTGTAATATTTAGGGAGGTCTGGGTGACTGGCGAACGTACATGCGTTAAAGAAATACTCTCTCCAAACCTAGTAACTCCTGCTAAGGCCACACCTTCTATCCTTCCCGTAATCCACAAATCACAGGGGGTGTCGAGGCAATCTAAAAACTGCTCCGGGCTAAAGGGAAATTACAGGTATGTAGTCTCCACACAGTGAGAGCCCGGGTAACTGACCCGAGGCGGCGGAACCGAGACCAGGCTCCCCTACAGCTGGCCGCCGAGTGATACTTGCGAGCAACTCTAAGAAAACACACCTTCCTTCTCGGAGCCTCTTCCTGAGGGGAGAGGCGAGGGGGTGGGGGCGGTCCGCGAAGGGCCCCCCACTGGGAACAAGCAGACCCCAAATGCCCATTTCACATTTCAGCCCCGCCACTTTCTCCTCCCGAAACAGACGCCGAGCGGGCCCCGAGCCCACAGGCACCCGGGGGGGTGATGCGAGGGTGGGCGACGCGGCGGGGCCCGAGCTCGGGCGTCAGACAGGGCATCTCTCGCCGCCCGCGGACCCGGGCGCGCCGTTCCCTTCCCGAAGCGCAAAGCTCCCTCCAGTTCGCGGCCCCCGCCGGCCCAGGGCCACGCCTCGCCGAGCCCAGTCCCCGCCGGCCGGGCCCAGGCCGCCGCCGCCCGCCCTTCCTTCCCGGCCGCTCCCCGCGGGCCGCCGGAGCCGCGACAGCGCGGCGGGCGCACTCACATCCGTCCGCGTCCTCCTGCAGGTCCTCCTGGAGCAGCGAGAGGTCTGCGCCGAGGGGAGAGAAGAAAGGCCCGGTCAGCGCCCCCGGGACCCGGCGCGCCGCCCCCGCCGCCCGCCCTCCCGGCCCCGCGGCGCCTCGCCGCGCCAGACCCCGCGCCGGCCGCGAGTCGGGGCGGCGGCGGCGGCGGCGGGCGGCTGGCGGGCGGACGCGGGGAGGAGGCGCCGCCGCCGCCGCCCGGAGGACAGGGGGCCACGTACCCGCCATCTTGTGGTCGCCCCCTCCTCCTCGGTCTCCCGGGGATCCGGGGCTACATGGAGCGGCGCGAGCCGGGGAGTCGGGGAGCGCGCGCGGGAGGGGCGGCAAGGAGGAGGGACGGGCCGGCGGGGGCGCGCGCGCGGGCACGCGCGGGGCGGGCCGAGGGCCCGGGCCTGGGCCGCGGGCGGAGCGGCTCCCGGACGCCGAAGGGCGGGCGGGCGCCGCGGGCCCCGGGCCTCGCCCCGCCTCGCCCCGCCTCGCCCCGCTTCGCCCCGCCGCTCCGCGCGGCTCCCGGGCGGCGGGCGCTCCCTCCTCCCTCCTCCCTCGCTCCCGGCCCGGCCCGGCGGCGCGCGCTCACACCCTCGGCCGGAGGCGCCCTCAAGCCGAGCGCTGCGACGGGCGCGCGCGAGCTGCCGCCGGCCCGGGACCCTGCGGCGTGTGCCCGGAACCGGGCCCGGGTGGGGTCTCCCGCGGCCCGGCAGGCTTTATTGGGTCACCGGCCTCGCCCACCGCCTCGTCGGCCGCGGCCCTTCTTCGCGGACTCGCCGTTCGCCGCCCAGCGCCCCCTTCCCAGGGCTTGCACGTACGTCGTCGGCGATCCGAGGCCCGGCGGAGGCCGAGGGTCCCACCCTCCGGGTGGAGGAAGCGCCGCCTCCCCGCACGCCGGGGGCCCTCGCGAAGTGGCTGGTAACAAAGCCCAGGGCTCGGCTGTACCGCTGTTGAGTGACAAAGTCATCCTAGTGCAGCCCACTTTCCCACCCAGCGCGTGTAAGTCCGAGGCACAGATTATTGCCCCCGTGGCCTGCCCTTCGTGCGCTGGCAAAGCGGGAAATGCTCGGGCAAGAGCGCCGGCGGACCTGGGTTCAGATCCCGATTCTGCCGTTTACTTAGGTGTGTAACCCGTTTGTAAATGAAGGCTGACACCTGGCTCAGGATTCCTGGGATTGATGAAGAATGAGGAACCCAGCATGTTACTTCTTTAGTTTAAATAATTTCGCGAGCACCTGATGGGCACGGCTGAAATCACTATTACTAATTTTATTATTCCCGCTTTTTTTTTTTAAACATGCGTTAAGTGATTAGCCCAAAAGCAAAGCGGAGGCTGAATCCAGGTTTTCTGACTCCATTTCACACAGCCCTGTCTCCAAGACTCTAATCTATTCCAGCTCCACCTGAGGCCTCCAAAATGTTAATCTCCCGAAGTGGAGAACAAAACATCCAGTTGTTTAATTGATGCCATATTGACAGGTCTGGTTTCTGGAAGAGGACAGGGAACTCTGAATCATCAGCTTGTCCCTTTCTGTATTGTGGTCTTCACCAAGGACGCTATCGATTGACCCTTGAACTACGCAGGTTTGAACTGTATGTAGGTTTTTAAAAATAAATACATTAGAAAAATTTGGGGAGATTTGCAACGATTTGAAAAAAAGCAGCATAGCCTAGAAATAGCGGAAAAAGAAAAAGTTAGGTATTATTGTAAGAATGCAGGATATACATATTATACACAGATCAACTGGGTTATTGGTAAGGCTTTGAGTCAACAGTAGGCTATAAACAGTTAAGTTTTGGGGAGTCAGAAGTTTCACATAGATTTTTGACCGCAAGGGGGTGGGCACCTTATCCCATTGTATTGGCATTTAATGCCATTGAGAATCCGACTAAGGATCAGATCGATCCTCTGAAATTCATAATTCTGTGTAATAAAATGGGCCCCACATAGCTATTCTAAAAACTTCCCTCAGCTATGACAAGGTGGACCACAGATAGTATAGTGTGTATTAAATTTCTAAAAGCAAATAAAAATCAGAATAGAATCTATTACTCCAAATGTGTGTCTAATTTTCTCAAATATAAAATAATTAAAACTAAAGGCCAAACTCATAGCCTATTTCTTTCTTTCCCTTGCAGAATGCCCTTATGTGAATTCAGCTGACACCAATTCTCAAATGACAGCTAGAAATTCACAAACTATTAAGAGAAACCAGCCCCAGTTGATTCAGTCCATGAGAGTTCTACCCTGCTTGCGAATATTTGTCTTGTTGACCACCTACTGTTTTTAGCAGTTCTGTGTAGAAAGGAGGAGGGGAGAGGATTTGGCTCTTGGCGCTAAGCTGGTGATTTCGCAAGAACACAAAACCTACAGAGTATCTACTATACTTCAGCCACTGCTTATACAAAGACAACGAAAACTGGCCAATCTACCCAGAAGTCAGGTTTATTATAATGCTCAGCAATGGTGGGAAAACAGAAATTATGTACCAATTGCTAGCCTGGGGTACCAAAAGACGAAGGAACTCTGCTTTTGGTATCTAGGCCTCAGTAAACTTCATCTCACTATTGTCTGGGAAGGCAGCAAAGGAGGCATCTCTGTGTAATTCTGTCCATTTTCTTCAAGAACTATGCATTTGTTATCCTACCTGCTTTACATGTTACTACAGACCCTTTAGGCAGTGTGGTTTTTAGACATTTCAGTGAGGATTTCCTTATTCACAGTTCAGCGTAAGTACATATGTTTTACATTTGATTTTCTTTCTCTACTTCTGTCATAAAGATAAGATAAATGGTTTTTATTTTATTTTTTTTTAATTTTATTAATTTATTTGACACAGAGAGCACAAGCAAGAGGAGCCGCAGAAGGAGAGGGAGAAGCAGGCTCCCTGCAGAGTAGAGAGCCTGAGGTAGGACTTGATCCCAGGACCCTGGGATCATGACCTGAGCCCAAGGTAGATGCCCAACCGACTGAGCCACCTGGGCACCCCAAGATAAATGGTTTTTAAACCGGAACTTAACAAAATTCACTCTGTCCCCTCCTTATAAAAAAATGGTATCTAAACAAAGAATGCAGTTATTTTCCGTATACCCTTACCCCAATTTCACTTATAATGTAGCCTGTGGGTCCCAGAAGCTGTTGTTGGTGGTAAGAGCACAACAGGAAGTGTCAACTCTGAGCCTGTTTTCCACTGAAATCTGTAAAATAGAGGGAATGTCACAAATCAATTTTCTTTAAAAGGTTTTTTTTTTCTTTTTTAAGTAATCTCTAGCGCAAACATGGGGCTCAAACATACAACCTGGAGATCAAGAGTCACGTGTTCCTCCAACTGAGCTAGCCAGCACCCTACAAGTCCAATTTTTTAAAAAGATTTACTTATTTATTTATTTGACCGATAGAGATCACAAGTAGGCAGAGAGGCAGGCAGAGAGAGAGGGGGAAGCAGCCTCCCTGCTGAGCAGAGAGCATGATGATGTGCAGGGCTCAATCCCAGGACCCCGGATCATGACCCGAACCGAAGGCAGAGGCTTTAACCCACTGAGCCACCCAGGCACCCCTACAAGTCCATTTTTTTTTTTTTTTAAGATTTTATTTATTTGACAGACAGAAATCACAAGTAGGCAGAGAGGCAGGCACAGAGAGAGGGGGAGGCAGGCTCCCGCCGAGCAGAGAGCCCAATGCGGGGCTCGATCCCAGGACCCTGGGATCATGACCTGAGCCGAAGGCAGAGGCTTTAACCCACTGAGCCACCCAGGCGCCCCACAAGTCCATTTTTTAAAAAGTGTTATCTGAGGAGCACCTGGGTGGCTCAGTGGATTAAGTGTCTGCCTTCAGCTCAGGTCATGATCCCGGGGTACTGGGATGGAGTCTCTCATCGGGCTTCCTGCTTGGTGGAAGGCCTGCTTCTTCCTCTCTCACTCTCCCTGCTTGTGTCCACTCTCTCACTGTCTCTCTCTCTCTCTCTGTATCAAATAAACAAATAAAGTCTTAAAGTATTATCTGAGTTTGTGGCTACAAAGCCCTGGATTTTTCAGAGTAAGTACTCTTTTAAATATTCGTGAAAACTTCCATTAGTTGCCAAAGAGCCTTGGAAATGGGTGTATTTGGCTCTTCAAAAACAAACACAATAACTATCAGGGGAAAATATTACCAGTTTAAAAAACCTACCTGGCCTTGCGTGAAGATATCACATTTATTAATTTTTGTATCGGTAATTGAACCGTTTATTGTTTTCTTTAGAATGTTCATTCCCAAAGCTGAGAAGGTATAACAGGCAGATTTATTAGTTATTGTTTTGAACAGTAAAAAAAATAGGATCAGTCTGAAAATGGAGAAATACTTATAAGAGAAAGTACTTTTTAAACAAATGTTTAATATTCATTTTTATTCATCTCTGTGTTTTTGGGAGCCAGGTTGGTGAGATGTCCCTCATAGACTGCCATTCCCAGTAAAAAGACCAAACATTTTCCTCTTTTTTTTTCTTTTTTAACTAATTGCCCCAATTAATCTCTTATCGAAAGCCTCCTTTATACATTCTGGTAAGTTGTATAAAGGTAAATATTTGTGTACAATTTTTCTTATCTCTTTGTTCCCTTGCCTCTTCTAGCTCCCTTTAAAGTTCTATGTCAAGGTGACCTTCCAAAACGTGAAAACTTAGCCTTTCCTAGACCTTTCATAGTTTGGTTTTGTTTTTCAAAGACAACGGATCTCTTTTTACTCACATCAGCTAACGATACATTTTCTCAGACCATGCTGAAAACGAAAGAATAGAGGAGGAAGTCAACAGTCAGCCATAATATAAAATGAGCCCCATCGGAGTCATCCCTATTCAAGCTCTTCTTTCTCTATTTACAAGAGTTGAAGGCTGCCTGTGGAATGTGGCAGAACAGAAGCTCCTTCTCAGGGTCAGCCGCTATTGCAAGTCTGAGCACAGGCTTGTTCTGAGTAGAATAGAGCATCCTGTTGGAACAACTACCGTAAAACAAGTAGAAAACGTTAGTAGAGCCCA